ATATATTTTATCTTTTGATACTTAAACTATACATAATACAATATAATTTTTACTTATTTTTGTTCAAATAACTATTTACTTTGTAAATGTAAATACATATTTTGAATACCTAACACGTTAGTAAACATATAAATAAACGTAAATAAACATGTTGTATTAAAAATTTAACTAGTAACACTTGACCTATATTTGAAAATTAAACGCGATTTCTAAAATTAAAATACCGGATTTTCGTCTAATATATACAATTTACCTAAATTATAAAATAAAATAACTGGTAGTGGAAATATTATGACGGTCCTTTTATAAATGTATTATAGTTTGTCCTTGACAAAACTATTTTATAATAATCCTTCCCCGTGGTAAACGTATGAAATCTACTTTAAAATATATAAAAAGTATTCACTACCTACTACAAGCAGGTTTTATTCAAACGAACAATTGAAATTAAAAAAATTTTAATACGTAAAATGCGATTATTTATTGAAAAACAGTTATTAATTTTTTTGACCATTCGTTATAAAATTTTAAGAATCATTTATCAGAATGTCATATCTATATATTTGTTTCAGTATTTCGGCCTTTGTAAATTTAAATATAAAATAACTTATAGTATACTCTATAAGTATACTCCCAATGATTTTTCAATACATTATTTTATAAAATCCTTTACAATAATTTTATAGGGCACGGAATAATATTATGAGTACTTTATCCATTTAATTTAAATATTTTAAATTCAATATTTACTAATGTGTTAAAAATATTTAATAATTTTCTTAACGAAAAGAAAGACAATAGAAATCATAAACAACTTTAAACACGAGACGACATTTACAGTCGATTAAGCGTAGTGCGCTTAGGGAAAATTACACAAAAGGCTTTAATTTCCATTTTATATAAGTGATCGATATCTAGAAACCATTCGTTTATTACACTAATTAACAATGGCACAAGATAAGTTTTTATCAATTAAAAAAAAAAAAAAATTGGAATGAATGAAAATAAAAAATTAATAAAATTATATTGTTTGAGATATTATTTTACTAATACATAAATGCATAAAAAAATAAATATTAAAATTGCATATTGAACTCAATAATTATTAAATTTAAATAAACATAAAAACATTGTTAACGTTTGTAAATACAGTAAAACCTGTGTAATGTGGAACCTGAATAACGTGGAAACCTGACTTTTATGGAAAAATATTACGGTCCCGGCAAACTTAATGTATTTTTTAAATACATCGTTCCCTGAATAAGATGGAACCTGTTTAACGCGGAAATGGAAACGATATTTTATCATGTACCTGTATATCATGAAAATATGTACATGTATTTTAAAATTATCGGTCAATGAATATAATCTATATCAATTATATAGATTATTTCATTGCAATAAGTTTAACATGTTAACATCGATAAGCATTTATTTACTAATGATAATGATATAAATTGCACTTCAATAGACGTTGAACAATCCAGTTCCGAAGACGAAACTGATAATGTACCATTGCACGACAATGATATTAAAACGTATAAAAAGCCCTACATGAAATAAAACGATTAGAAATGTTCACAACACCTTATTATTACCAATCATAAAAACAAAAAATAATAACACTATTTTAGTAAAAATTTAAATCAAATTTTAAGTTGATTTTTTTTATTGGCTTGAGTCTAAAACAATAAGAGATATTTTACATCATATAAGAATTGTATAATGGTATATGATATACGATATGATACTTAGCTTTTTATTAATTTACGGGATCTTTTATGCCTATTATAAAAGTATAAATTCAAATATAAACTATTAATATTAATTTATGACGAAATATAAAACTCGATTTATTTTCTCTTATATATTAAAATATAATATAAATTAATTATATCTATAAATACTAGAAAAATGTATTTAGATGTTATCGTAGTAATTTCACAGTAATAATATCAGAACGATGCGTCCTTCATAATACACACTGATTACAACTAAAAACACAGCCGACCCATTAATGTTAATAAAATAACTAACAATTTAATTAAAATTAAAAACTATTAAATGGTTAACACTCGTAAATAAATAAATAAATCAATTAAAAAACAGTTTATACATAGAATTAAACAAATAAATAAATATTAAAAGCTAGAGCTTATTTTATTTCTTCTATATATAATTGTGATTTAATTTTTCATATTCAGTCGTAATTTTATTATCTTTTTACCTGATGGTACCTGATGATGAGTTTTTAATTCGAATCCGGTCGTATTTTACAAATATAATAATAATAATAATATTCCAGGATATGCTTTTATTTATTTATTTATATATATATTAAAGTTATTTACAAATAAAATTATATTAAAGTTAGTTTTCGATAACGATTTATAAAGAAATGTAAAAAGGTAGGTACAGAATTCAATAAATCTTAATTACTATGCATATTTTTTTTTTTTTTTTTAATACATTATATTAGTTCTTAACCTAAAAATTAACATTTAAATGTGACCCATGTTATTATTATTAAAAGGTAAGTCGATTGCTACTATAAATAAAAATTACCTGATGACTCATGACTGGTTGAGATAATTATTGAAAATATAATGATGAATGACATTTAATTAAAAATAAAACAATCAATTAAGAGTTAAAACCCTCCAACTCAATATATAAAAACATTAAGAAAAAATAAAATAACTTGACGCTTAACTAATTAATTATGAACTATGATATTTAACAAAAAATTTTCATCCTTAGTTAAAATATATAGTTATGATTTTTTCAAAACAATTTTAATAAATAACTAAACTAATAATCCATTGAATTTTACGTACAGATTATTGTTTATTAATACTATACACATGTTAATAGTCTTTTTTTTTTTATCTAAACTAATCCTAAGTTTTCATGAAAATATTATATATATATCTTGTATATTATTAGAAAATTCATAATATATTTTAAATAAATTATCATGTTAATTTTATAAACATAAGAAAATAATACAAGTAAAGATAAATACTATTTTGTATGGCTGTAGTCCATTATAAAAGAATCTTCTACAGTATCCAAACAAATAATTTGATTCTTACATACTAAGAGTTATAATTTATTTATAAGTATATATTATATAAGTATTTATTTATAAATATAATTTATTCATATAGAATAACCGTGCATAGAAACAATTATTTTAAACACTTTCTAAAATGTAAGCTAAAGAGGGTGGAAGTACAAGAATAAAAGTTACTCTCTAAACTAATAAACATATTCAAACATATCTATAGCTATTCAAAAAATTGTTACTATCTATTAATGTTTTATGCTATATACTTAAAATATATAAGTAGGTGTGATAGTTAAATAAAAACGCATTAAATATGTTACTCTATTTTGAGGAGAAAATATAAGTTATAATATTATAGAAAAAATCTTTTAGTATAAATTGTGACATTTTTATAAATTATAATTGAATAAAAATCATATGGGTAATTTAATAGAATTGTCGCACATTCAAATACAATTAAGATTCTAAAAAATAATTGATTAAAAAACTGGTTAAAAATAAATATAAAATTTTCTTATTTTTAAAAGTTAAACTGTTCTAGTAAGTATGATTAGTATTTATTGAGATGCCTAAAAATTATTTAAGATACATTTTTAGATTAAAATTTCTATCAAATATAACACATTGAGTCAATTAGTTATTATAAATAGCAAGTTCAAATTGATTCATTTCCTTTGCCCACGCACCATTTAGTAGTATAGAATTTAATATTAAAGTTAGAAAAAAATAAAACCTATTCTTTTTATGTACGATCTTAATAAATGTATGCGAAACACCACAATATCGCAACGAAAAATCACTCAGAGCTAATAGATTTACAAATAAAACAAATAAAGTTTGGTGAGACACGAGTATAATGCGTTTTTCTAATAATACAACATAAGTGTTAATGATAACGAAAATATCGGTAGTATAATAATGATAGAGCACGTGCCAAAACACACGAAATAATAAGATAATGTTATTTTTAAAATGTAACATTCTTTAGTAAATGACTGAAAAAACGAAACAAAGAGAAAAATTCACAACAACTCAATTATTAAACAAATTTGCACCCATAATTTTTTTCTTATTTATTTTTAGCAATCTGTATATAATAAATATATTTACAAACTTCATCTCAATTATAATTAAACAAGTATGTAGGTTTATAAACTATGGATATACATTTCCGGAAATGATAACATAATATAGTGCAAATAACAAAAAATGTATCAATTGACCATTATTATTAGCACCAAACACAACAGGACGATGTTATCGTATTTATACTACACACGAATTGTAACATATAACTATAGTCACTCTCCGACACAAAATGGTCCAAAAAAAAAAAAAATTGATTTGTTACAAATGATTATGATTAAAAATGTAAGTCAATGAAGTTTTTGATGTTAATAATGTATTGAACTTATAATTTTATAAATATATTTTTATTAGATATGTTAACATTTGGAACTTGAACAATTTAGGAAAACAAATTGTAAAATTTAAGACGATTAAACGTATAATTAGGTACAAATTGCATCTATAATAACTGATATTTTTAAGTGTTATTAGTAAACCCGTGCTCTAACAAAGTAACAAAGTATGAATGATTTTTCACTTATTCTGAAGCTAAAAAATGTACAGTTCGTTATAAACTACAACTATAGATACCTGTCGCCACATGATACATGTAGCGTGTACGGGACTTTAGAATTAAATTATAATTTATTTTTGTTTCGTTACATGATTAATGGTAAATAGGTACATATTATTAAACGTAAAAATATAAAACTTCCCCATACTTCCTCCCTATTTAAACAATTGCCATGATGCAACAACAACAGTAGAAAATAAATTCATACGACGTGTAAATATAATATGCACATGTATGTACATAACGTTATCGAAAAAAAAAATTAAAAAAATCATATTCACTACTCACGATAAGATCCGGTTTTCCGTTGGTGGTGCTGTTGATCACCGGTGGTGTGCAATCTCGTAATTGGGTCAAGTGCGGCAGCTGCGGGTGGTGCCGGCGAAAGATACAGGTAGGTAACGCGGTCGTATAAACGTCCAGTATGGGGAGATCTGGCCGAAAAATAAAAATAAAGTATCAAACCGAAGGGAAAAAACGTCGACAAGAGTACGATTAATTGGCAGCGATGGCTAAAGAACCAATGAAGTACGGAACGTCGAGTCGATGTTATCAATCACACGGTTCTGATAACGGAGTACAGATGATAGAGGGTAACGGAGGGAGAAGAGGCGGTGTGAAACCGTGTATATGGCTCGGACGTGCGGTGGGCTCCCGTCGACGCGCGGTGGTCCTGCAGAGAGTATGTGCGCGTGTGGAAGCGATGGCAACGGCGGCAAAGGCGACGACTGCAACACAACAAGGAACGTGAACACCCGTCGAACGACGGACAGCAACTGGCGACTCCCGGGACTCCGGGCTCCGACCAAGTGCACCGTATCGTCGTTGTCGTCGGCGTCGGCGTCGTCGGCGGCGGCGGCGGCGGCGGCGGCGTCGTCGTCGTCGTCGTCGTTATCGTATAGCCTCTCGGCAACCGCGACGCGGTGGTGGAGGCGGTGGCGGTGGTGACAGCGGCGGCGGCGGCGTCCAATTGACGGACCCGAGCGCTCCGCGTGGCGCGTTCGCGAGTCAACTGGTCGCGGAAAAATTGCGTTGCGTCCGCCGCCGCCTGAAAATCTATAGGAAAATATAAAAATGGAAAAAGTTTTTATTATTTTTGCGTTCCACCGACCCTATCCTAACCCACCGCCGCCGCTGTCGCTGTCGCCGCCGCCACTTCGTCAAATACACTGCACGTGTCCACCGCTACCTCCACCACCGTCGTCGACATAATTTTTATCCGCTCTCTCGTCTTATAAATGCTGTCGGGGCGAGTGGGTGAACCGTCAAACCATCACTGACGCGGAATAAAGCGACAACGAAAAGCTGAAATCGATTTATATATATATATTATAAACGAGTTTATGTACGGTTTATTTTTGTCAAATATAATTTGATTGCATGGATAACGCACCGCGACGTCGTAATAACTTTTGAGTATGATGGTCGAGTCGTTTTAATAAAAAAAATCAATACTTAAATATGTATTTACGCGTAAGTGTAGTTTGTTCGGTTGACAGTATAACCAGTACAGGTACTGTACGTGGTGGTGATAGAATTTTATGATTTTCTTATTTAAATATAGGTTATTTAAATGTATACACCGTTAGGCAAGGAAAATGAAAATCATTACGAAAATTTTTGGATAGACTCGAGAAAATGCAGTTCATGAAGGCACTTTATTTTATCAGATTATTACACTTTTATCTTAACTTGATATTACAATTACAGAACAATATTATCTTTTGTGTCATTATAAATAAAACGGAACGTTATGGGTACGTTTCTGCACCTATATATGTTATATCGAATTGTTATTCTACACCTAAATCCCGTTACCTACAACAAAAGTGGTAAGTGGACATAATAATATAAACTGAAGTTTCGCCTACGTCATGCAAAACAAGTTTTGTGAATTATTATTCACAGCATATATTTTGTACAGTATTTAAAAGTACAAATAGTATATTTTTATAAGAAAATAAAATACATGATTTATATACTAATTTTTAGAAATTTTAAATAATAGGCATAAATATTTTAATAAGCTAAATGATATTTAAAGCGTATAATTATTTGGTATCTATTTTTTTTTTTTTTATTATTTGTATATGTTTAGTAAGTATTGACGGTTGGATATTAAACAGTAATTATATTTTTTTTTCTATTCACAAAAAACCCTCGGTACCAGTAACCATTAGGTTTTATTTATATTATTACAATAGATTTAAATCAATATAAATAAATAAGTCATTAAATTATAAATGTTTTTTAAATTGATACTAAAAATTTAACTATCAGACTTTCTCATAAAAACTAATTAATAAAAATATTTTTCTACAAATACAAGCATTTATTTAAGTCATTAGAAACCCTATTAACTAAATTGAAAAATGGTTTTATTCTTACATTCCTAATCATACATTTTCCGGTATCAACTTTATTTTATTGAAATATTTTTATCAATAAAAAAATAACTTACTAACACTATACTTTTGTAAAAGATCTGTAACTTGCTAAATAAAATACAATTTATTTGAACATCTTTTATAAATAAATTATAATTGGTAGAGCGGGAACATATTAATATAGTGTAACAGATATCATAACACTTTAAATTAATAATACATACTATTCGTAAAAACGTATAATTTAGAACAGGGGCGGGCAACTAGCGGCCAGCGAGTCTCTTTTATCTGGCCCGTGCTATATTTTCAAATTTCATCGAAGAATTTTAAAGTTTATCGTCTATCAATATAATAATTGTTATCTGGTATTAAACATCGTTAAATGTCTAAATGTCACATATAATACCATTGATTATAAATACTAGTATACATAATAGCTTAATAAAATTGGTTATACTAACCAATCTGTTTGTACCGAACTATTTAACTATATTAATTTCTTTGTATCATTCATGTCGTCCTGTTGCGTGTGTTGAATTCACTATTTTTGTGTATATAATTGCTAATTAAAATGCATATGTTGAATGACTTTTTTTTTTTTGCTTTTATTTTTCTGACCCGCTAGATTTTAATTTTCTAAGAACTGGCCCTCTAGTAACTTTGAGTTGCCCATTCCTGATATAGAACATATAGCACATTTATAACTTCAATGTTGATGAAGCTTATAGCAAATACTGTTTGAAAAATCATTGTTTTCTCTTACTGATGTATGTAAATAATAATTTCGTTGTATGTTTAACTTTATTTTTTATTTTCTAAAGCAATTGTATTATTACTATAAAAATACAATTTACTTTTTATACAAGATTGAATACATACAGGTGTACAGATGTAACACATACAACGACAATTTCATAATTTAAATTTATTCATAAGTATAACGATATATTATTAAAATAATTGAAATTACATCTTTTAGGCAACATATTAATATAGTTTAAAATTGGGTGCGCCAACAGAATATTTTATATACCTTATTGTTCATTTTATATCCGATTTCAACTACATAATTGTGTATTCATAAATATGCAAATTAATACTCATATCTAACATTCATGTTAACTAACCTAACCATAGTACAATAAATTTGATATAATACCATTTATTCCTTATCTCATTATTACATGGTAGTATTTATACTATATTTTGATAATAATTTATAAACACATGGAATATTCGGTTATTCACTGCGCTTAATGAGAAAAAACAATCCGAACGTATATATTTTATTACGTTTATTATTGATTTTAAAGTTTAATATTAAAAAAATCTAGTTTCGACGAACAAACTTATTTACAGTATGGATGATAAAAAATTCATCTTAAAATCTAATAAAACTATTGTTATTCCGTATTCGTAACGACGTTGTCACTCGTTATTTCCACAATTACTTATTAGTTAAATCTTATGGTATTTTTATTTTTTTTTACATAAGTTTTGAAGATATTCTACTCAACACAATAGTTAATACTAGTTTCACAAAACTAAAATATATTCTAAAAAACCTTTAATTTTATCAAATATGATAAGACTTGGATTGTTTAAAATAATTACACAACATTTATCAGGTTATATATTTTATTCGACAAATAAAAATTGTATAAGCATAATATTACTTTGATACAATATTTTCTTTATACAATGATGTTAAAAAAAGTTATCAAATTAATCGTTCAACTCTGATAATATTTAAAGTGCTCAGTATTTAAATATGTAACACAAATAAATAATATTACTATTAATGAGACAATATGACTATTAGTACAAAATATTTTTAGTAGTTTTTTTGTTTATAAAGATTTTAATCATAGTGAGTAGTAAAGTTCAAGTTATTCAAATATATTTAGGTTTATGGTACATTTTGTGAAAATAATGAACGTAAATCAACAATAATTAAAATAGCTTTGACTTATGATTCTTAATAAATTGTGGAAATTATTCACATTTTAATTTTTACCACTAATAAATTATTATACGAGTCGTGTTATTTTAACGGGTGCTGTAACAAATCGAATGATACGATGGATATATACAAGAATATTAATTATGACAGAAATATAAGCATTAGTGCATTATTATGATAACCCGTTTTGATCAATTACAAGTCTAAGAAACTGATCTATTGATTAAACTTTGTACAACCATAATGTTATCAAAAAATAAAAATTGTATTGATTAACGAGAAATATATTTAAAGCATAATGTAATATTATTGCTTTAAAAGCGTGATGTGTAGTAATTATACATACGTAGGTAGTTCTATAATCACTTCAAAAAATAAATACTGACGTTACTCGACGTAAAGATAGCAATATTTTATTAAGTACGGCGAACAGAGGCGTAATTTCGTAATTTCAGTTTCAAACCCTGGTTGCATCATTGACGTGGGTTAAGTGCAATGAAATTAATAGGGATCATATTGAACAACTTTTAAAAAAATTAATTAAATTTAAATAAATTATATTTAATTATACTTATTTTACTATGTAAAAACTGAGTTGATTAATTAAATATGTTAAATAGCAACAAATAAATCTATGTGTCACATCAAATTTTTTTGATTCTGGCGTCTCGGGCGTTAAAAATGTAAAAGCCCAAAGTCGATGACATATCCATTCAAATGAGAAATTCGCAAGACATATCTTACAACAATTCAATTTTAGATGTAAGATAATATTCTAAAGATAGTTATATAAACCCCAGATTTTGAAGATGGAAAATAATATTTCAAAATAATCTTCATTTGGTCGCGATAGAAAGTGGGTATATACTAATTTCAGAAACCACTTCAGAAACACCCTTTATGTTATACACTTATATTGAGATAAAAGGAACAATATAATTTTCGTTAATGTTTTTACATATTTTATGGAAAGGCCGTTGGTAGGCAATTATGAATATATGACGTTCTCATAATAATCATCAAGTTATGGTCGGTCGGCGACAGGAATCGATTGTTCTCGATAAAACACTCTAGTCCAGCACCAATCAATAAAAAAAAAGTAAGTTGTTGTTTCGATGGATCCAATGCGTTTTAGACGGCCCTTTCAAAATTTATAGTCACAAGAAAATTGTTATCAATTTATGTGAAAACTACTGATTAATTATATACATTTTCCACTGTATACTAATTAAGTCCCTATGCCTAAAGAGGAAAAAGGTATATACTAATTGAGTTTCGAGTACCAAAGGGACATATACTAATTGAGTTCGGGAATTAATTTGAGTAAAATATAAAATCAACCGTCCAGAGTTCAAACACAGCGGAAATTATGCCATCGATCGATTATGCCATGGATACGTGGTGTACCGACGATATGTCAAGTATCTAAATTATTATTAATATAGTTACTATTAGTTGAATTATCTT